GTGGAGTGAGAGAGACACAAGGTTTTAATGTAACAGAGATAAAAAAGCATTTAAAAACCAAAAGGGATAGAAATGTCCATCACAAACTCATATTAATGATGGGTTTTCCGATTCTAGGGACGGGCTTTTCTCTTGAGTGATGTTCATTTCTATTGGTTAGCCTTGATGTTAACAACCACATTTTTATTGGTAAATGTTCACATCAAGAGCGAGTTTGAATTAGGCGTGAAGAGAGAATGTGATCATTGAGACACAATTGGAAAACTGTGCAATTTGTAAAAATTTTATCTAACAAAAAGAAATAAAAAAAAAAGTTATATAAAAATCTGTAAGAATAAAAACTCTAATATAAAAAAAAATTTAGACTAAAACATAAAAATAAAATCTGAAAGCCCAGTCAAGTTACTCTCAAAACCGCTTTTTAGATAACGCTTTTTTTTCCATTTACAAAATGTACTCTTTGTTTCACCATTAATGGAACAAAATTTACTCCATACATTTTACTATGTTTGAAAAGACAAAGCAATATAGCGAGTAATAAAGTGATCATGGAATTAGGTTTGCAGACACAGTTATCCTCCTTTGCATAGACATTCAATTAATATCAAAACTTATCCTTGAGGACAGACTGCATACTTTCTCATTATCCCTCCGCAGTAAGATGGTGCTGCTCAGACTCGTCTATCCGGAAGCCAAACGAGTAGAAGAGGAATATGAAGCTCACTAGAGTTGCACAAATAGCCAAGGCAGCGGCCTTGGCTATTTGTGCAATTTTGTGCTGAAAGCCCTAAAGAGAAAAGGCGACGCCGTAGACGTGGCTGAGCAAACGATGCTACTACGGTCTGTCAATTTTACAGATAGAACTCCATTTCACTGTTCTCCCTGCTGCCCTCTGTGAAGAGGCTTGAAAGCATCCGATGCAGGTCCAGCAGGTTCCATAACAGTTTCTTCCATTAGGGCTGCTGAATGTTGTGTACTATGGGTTATTTTATGTATATAAAAAAATAATAATTTCAGAACTGTAAATATACATATTGTTATTGTTTATGTTACTATTTTTTAGGTATTTATTACTGTTTTCAAGGCTGCAAAAATGAAATTGTCTGGAGCCGTAACGAAATTTATTTTTGTATACACTCGTGTATACAAAATGACAAAATAAATCTGTCTAAGAAACCTGTTTAGATGCATCTCTGCTTAAACACATCTGATTGAGATTATTGCACATCAGCAAAACCTGTTAATATAAATTAGGTGTACAGAAAGATCTATAATTTGAAGGACAGCGTGTGCCTTGAGGACCATTTTTGGTAAATAGTTCAATGAAGCATAGATCATCACAAAAATAAGCCCCTTTAAAATGTGTACATACCTGCTCTTCTCCTTGGATGTTCCAGAGAAGCAAACTCTGTAGTTTCATCAGCATCTTTAGATGGATTAAGGCTGTCATCAAAAGGAAATTATGCCTTTTGATGACAGCCTTTTGGAATTACTGCAAGATTTTTTATACATATTAACAAATGCAAACATTTGAATCTGGTATGAAAGATTTTTCACATTATTTTTAACTTTTCTAACAATCTGCAGACATTTTAATTTGTAAAAAAAACTGGTCTCCACACACGTGCAAATAATTTTGCAACAACATTGCTCCCATATGCTGGCCTGTGCAATTTAAACCCTGTTTGGTAGGACTATTGCAACACTGTCTACTCTGGCCTCCCAGAGTCGTCACTCCAACACTTACAGTTAGTGCAGCAGCTTGTCCCCTTACCAGTTCATCCAGACAGGACCACATCGCTCCTGTCCTCTCATCCCTGCACTGGCTCCCAGTCCGTTTTCAGATTGATTTTAAATGCTTGCTTTTAAAGCCCCTCATGGTCCTGCTCCGTTATATTTAACTGAGATGTTGATCGTACATTGCCCCTGCAGAGCTGCCGATCAAATGGGGCCATTGCTCCTTTGTGGATAGCGTTCCTAAACCGTGGAACAGCCTGCCCCTCAGTCTGCCTTTTCTCACTGTCCAGATTAAAGACTTTTTTTTAAACTTATTTTAATACTTGGAACTGACTGATTTATGCTTACGTTTTTTTGTTTACATTGTGTTTTTTCTCTCTGTGAAGCACTTTGGTCTTCCTGGTGTTGTTGTGAAGTGCTATGCAAATAAGCTTTAAATAATTGATTAATTCATTGATTGTATATCTGAATACACCCTAAAGAATCAGTTGGACCCCATTGTTTAAATCCCTGACCTGGCAACATGTTAAAGAGCCCTATACCAACTGGTGATGCTATTGTGTAATCACACGAGTTGGTCCTCAAAGACTTTGGAAATACATTCTTTGTCAAGCTTTAACAAAGCCCTTTATCCCCGGTCTTAACTGTGGCCTCCCGGCTGGAGAGAAGGCACTTTTATGGAAGAATGTGTATGTTTACAGTTCACGCAGGTCATGACTGATAGATTTCCACAGTCAGCAGTCTACTTGGCTGTTGTGTAATTCTATGCAGTTATGTTATTTGAAATTTAATGTAAGAAATTTCGGATTCTCGTATTGTTCCGTAGGCACATGCCAAACTGGCTGTGTGTTGAGACAACAGATACAAGTGTAATTTAAACTTAAATCATGGTCATTTAACTCTTTACTCATAAATTCCTCGCAACTCCCATTTAAAATTGAATAATCTATTAGTATTCTACTCCTGGTCAAACATATTACAGTTATGCTATGTTCAGACCACATGCGATAGAGACAGCAGAAGCAGCTAGTTTACATGCAAAATTTATGGTTAGAGGCATATCAAAAGGTCCTGCAGCGCATTTCGAGCAGCAGGAGCAGTGCATCTTGACGCGTCTGAGCAGCAGAAGCAGCGCCTCATGAGTTTCTGAGCATCTAAGCTGCGCGGTAGCTGCTGGAGTTGGAAAAATTTTACTTTGCTGCTCGAAGCACTGTATCAACCAATCAGAGAAGCTGATCTAGGAGCTGGCAGGGAGACAGACACAGCACTGCTGATGCAGAGATCTATGATCACTCCTCTGAAATAGTTTATTAAAGGAATAGTACACCCAAAACATGATTAGTCTTCATTTTCTACTCACCCCCATGCTGAACAACACTCTGGAGTACTTTTTTGATATCTCAAATGCATCTGGAGATCTGGGAGGCTTCTTACTGTCTGCTGACATTCAAATAATGGAGGTCTATGGCGCCCGAGGCAGAAAGGTCCATAAAAGTCCACAAAAAACGTGTCAATATTCCTCCATACTGCTCGTCCAATGTATTCCAAGTGTCCTGAGTGGGTAGCGTCCAGAATTTACTCGAAACGAAGTCATTTAGAATGTTTTTAGAGCATAAACAGTAGTGTATAGGATTTCCTAAAAGCGCGTTCACGAGTCTATGGAAACCGCGGCAGACCAAACCAGATGAAAGTGCGCATTCAGCGTCTGCTCTGCCGATAATGCAAGCGTAGAAGAAGAAATGTGCTGTTTACCTGTGCAAAGAAAGAAACAACGAAAGAAAAATGTCTGAGGACTTCAGTGTTGAGGAAGAGCATGAGTTCTTTGCCGAGCTGAATGCGCACTTTCATCTGGTTTAGTCTGCCGCGGTTTCCGTAGACTCGTGAACTTGCAGGCGGGCGCAAACATTACAATATCTAAAAAACTTTTACAAGTTCCAAAACAAATTACCATTTCAGGAAACAAATTTACATAAAAAATAAATAAATAAAAATAAACAAAACACTTTAAAAAATTCAAAACAAATAGCATTTTAAGAAAACAAATAAAAAACATTCGAAACACTTTCACAAGTCCCAAAACAAGTTATCGTTTCAGGAATTTAACCGGAAAGGGCGGGTACTAAACTCCGAGGCTGAACCGGTCTTGTGCAGAAATTCTGTTTCTGTCCCCCTAGTGTCAGGAGCACGCATTGCAGCTACTTTTAAGGCGCCCCTGATCATTTCTCGGTGAAAACAGCTCATTTAATCATGTCAACTTTGTAACATTCAGTTTAACTGGTTGCTCTTTTTACAAATTTGTATAATAAATACATTAACAAGGTCTCCTTAGGCTGTTTTGTGTTGTTTTTTTAAACACCAAGAGAATCTGTATTTCTCCAACTTTTGTCCCATCAGCCTGACAGAAATAAACGTCAGTCACCAAACACAGATTTCCAACACGTAGTGTATTTTAAATTTTTCATTGCTGATATAAGAGGATGGAAACTGGCTGAAATTAAGACGTCCTGCAAAGATGAGAGTGTAGAATTTCTGGTTAAACCCCTTCTAATGTAAAACATGACAGATTATTGGATTAAGGACATTTCTAGTATAACATATCACACATATCAATTTTAGAGAAATTGGAAACAGTTGCTCTTTATTTCCCAAAGATATGAGAGGAGGAGAGGCAAGAATGGATGTAATCTGTTCTCCCTCCACAACATGGGAAGAAATTCATGTAATTCATATTCCTTGTTTTCTGAAATGATCATTTGTTTTGGAACTTGTAAAAGTGTTTTAGATTTTATAATGTTGGTTTGTACCTCCCGGTCACCCGTAGTCTCTGCTTCAACACACAAGTCAAAAAACGTGGTCATTAGCAGGACCTCACTGCCTTCTGAAGAGGTAATTCAACAATTTGTTTTGGTTGCATGAAAGCAGAGAGACATTTAAAAGGTGCAGCACATCTGATCTTGTTGACCAAAATTTAGGAAATGCTACCAAGGACAATCAATAATTTATTTTCAATCTTCAGGTCAAGTCCACCAGTTTTTTGGTTAAACTGTACTATTATCATAAAGGTCACATATAGGCATGGACGAATGAAATATCTCCTGGACTTTTGGAAATAAATTGAATTAATTGTTTTACTCCAGACCGTCTTTGTCCAGCAAAAGGGGTGTTATAACGATTCTGTAAAAAATTTAGTAAATATAACACAGTTTTATGTGGGTTTTTTTTGTATGCACTGTGAGATAATAATTTACGGACAAAAAAACATCCTTAGTTGTTGTTTAATTTTTATTCTATTTCTTTTTTGGATTTCTACATCATATCCGTGATCCTCCTCATGCTCCTGAACCTCATGCCTCCGTATCCCATCTCCCTGAAGCTCCTGTACTCTCCGGGCCTCAGATACATCATCCTTCCTCTGAAGTAGGGCTGCTCGTACATCATCCAGTGTCCGTCCATCACGTGGCAGGACATGCAGTCGGACATGTGGTAGCGATCCATGATGTCTTCACAGTCATCCATCATCTCATACATCTGACCACCGAAGTTCTCCCTCTCATAGATCCTCATCCTGTAGGATCCACTATACTGTTTGGAGGGAAATGTACACAATCAATGCGATTGTATAAGTAGACAAATATATTCATGATCAAAGTTTTCTCTTCATACCTACCAAGGGGATTTGACAGCAAGACTTAATCCCGCCATTCAAGCCCATCAAACTCATGTGATCAGCAAATTCTCCTCTTCTAACGAAATATTGGTTTCCCGTGAAGTTGGGGCGGTCGTAGACCATGAAGAATCCATACTCCACCCTGAAGGAGTTACATCTGCTCAGGTGGGAGGATATATTGTCACAGTCGCCATTGCTCTCATAGGAGCGACCCTGACAGTTCTTGTCCTCATAGAAGGTGATCTGTGAAAAAAAAGGCAAAGTTGTTGCAACATGAATTAACAAACCTTTACTCTAAACTATTGGACATTAAATAAATCAACTTGTGGAGCTTACCTTGCCCTTGCTCATGTCGGACATGGCACTTTTTTTGGGTGACATGCTGCTTTTCCTTCAGTTAATGCTGCACTGCTGTCCTATCTGATTTAACCCTTGTTTTTATACTTGACCATACCCTATAGCGTCAGTGGGCCCCCTTTGTTTAAATCCCTGACCTAGCAATATGTTATAGAGTTCTTTACTAACCTCTGGTGCTGTAGATTAATCACATGGGTGGTGCCTTCGAAGACTTAGAAATACATTGTTAAGCTCAAACAAAGTCTGTTTTCCTAAGCTATAACTTTGGTGTCTCTGATTGGGTGAAGGCAGAGGCATGAAATAATGTGAAAGTTTATATTTGCTGTAGTTCATTAGTGGTTGTTTATCGAAGTCAACAGTTGTAGATAATTCCTGTTTTGACAAACTATCTCACAAAAGGAAAGTTTGCAAGGAGCCTTAGATTTAAAGCTACAGTGTGTAATGATCTGATGTTCAATGAGTCTTGATTTCTTATTAAACTTTGTAATACCTTTCATTATATTGCCTTATTATATAACCTTGGTGCCTTAGCTTTGGTCTTGTCCAGATATTAATCTACAGCAACCAGTAATCAGAGACACAAGTTTAAATATTCCCAGCTTAAGTTACTAGGTATCAGATCTTCTGTTGTTTTGGCCTTACTTAAACTTGATTTATACTTGACATGGTCTGTGGAGCCAAATTATATCATTTACTGCTTCTACAACTCTGCACCGCGCACCTGGAAAAATTTGTAAGTATGCACCCTAATCCGCATGAACATTGGAGGGGATGAGCGAGCAATTGTTCCTTTATGGCAAGGGATCACAAATATGTTTAAACATCTAGAGATTCTGTGATTTAGCTCATACATATCACCACTAATCAACAGATTGTGGAAAAGCAACCTAAAGAGAGATGGCTCTTGGACTGCATGAAAAAGTTGTAAAAGGTTGTGTTTTGTACTTTCTTGTGTGGTTAGTATGGTGTTGTCAGCTTGCAGCTTGTGCTGAACACATCACCCCCTGTAGCTGGTGTTCTGTCAGAGGAGCATCACAACGACTGCAGGATTTATATTCTATGCTGCCTTTCCCCATTATGGCCGGTTATCTGTCAGACCAGCATACCTATAGTCAATACGCATGTGCAAGACGTCCACTGGAAAAATGATCTAGAAATAAGTAAAAATTTCTTAAATTAAGTTTATTTCCCTTAATTTGAGTAGGTAAATGAGATAGTTTGCCAAAGGAATTAGTATTTTTACTCTTAAAATAAGACAATTAGATGATATGCACTTGAAATAAGACAATGCGATTGTGTTTTCTTATTTGAAGTGTAAATTGTCTTGTTCTATTGGCAAAATGTCTCTTTTACCTCCTAAATCCAAGAAAAAATGCACTTATTTTAAGAAAAAATGACTTAGCTAGATTTCGATTTTTTCCAGTGTCAGATTTGCGTTTATCCCATTAGTTTTGTACAAAAAAAACAATTTAAGGTCAGATCACCATACGCTTAAAAAAAACCCAAAAACTAAGCATTTAAATAGTTTTATAAATGGCTAAAGGGATACACACCCGTTCAGCTAATTTAAAGTGTATTTTTCGTACTAAACTAAAGGGATAAACTAAAGGGATTGACTAAAGGGAAAAACAGGTATTCACTATGGGCAGCAAAACATAATGTTATAAAGAAAAACATAATGGCCACAAAAATAACTTTCTTACTAAGTGGTAAAGAAAAACTATATAAGAAAAAAACTTGATCTGCCTCTCCAACCGGAACTGTTGCCAACATTGCAAGTTAAGATCTGAGTACCTAATTGAAGTCTTAAATTGGTTGAAAGCATGGCCGTGGGAAGTGGCAACCCAGTCTCATGGGAAAATGTACCCCCACTACGTTGGTCCACACTGCAAAACGTAGTGGAGGTACATTAATGGCCATTTTTTTGTGGTACTGTTACGTTTCTTCTGCCTATACGCTTTCTATTGTTTTACGTCCTAGTCACGTGACTTTCAAGATTCCAGCTGGGAGAAGAAAAAATATATAGATGGTCGACATTCGCTCATTTTTTTTGTGGAAAGATTAATAACTTGAGTTTGTTTTTGCATTAAAATGAGTTTTGATTACATTTCTAGTGAGAAATGTATAGTTTGTTGCCAGAATATTTACTCAGGGAATGTACATATTCACTTGCTTGTTCGTTTCTTGCAAAGATTTTTCAAGATAATGTGAAACTGAAACGTTTTGGTATAAACATGGCTGAGATTTCTCTAACTTTTAGTGGGAAAATCAATAATTTCAATCAGTTTCTGCATTTAAATGGGTTTTGATTACATTTATAGCGAGAAGTGTAGGGTTTATTTACATAATATTTACTTAGTGAACATACATAATCACCCGCTTGCTAGTCTTTGCTACGGTTTTTTGGATCTCATCAAGATTATGTGAAATTGCAACGTTTTGGCTGCTACCCATCGCCTAGCATTTAGCTGCCGCCCCGATTCAACATTGAATTCTTTGTGATTTAACTCCATCTGACGGATCAAACCCTCGCCACTGCGTGCGTTGCGTCTGAGGTTGATTTTCAGATCAATGCATTACGTCGTGGCATACGGGAGAAACTAATTAAACTAGTTAAAAAAAGGATCATGGGTTAAGATCGGATGTGTTTTATTTGGAAATCTACCGGACCCTTCGGTTTCTCTCATTAATATTTCTATTTAATACTGACTTTTGTACTTTATATAACCTTCTTCCTTTTTATCTTCATTCCACCTTTTTTTTGTGCCATTTTTCAATTTCTTTCCTCTTAATAAATGATTTTCCTTCCCCTTTCCCTAAAGGAATTGTAATTGTTATTTGTCTACTTTTCATTCCACCTAACTTTCCATTAATTAGCTTGAAAACAGCACTTTGTAGGCACCCAGTTTCTCTAACAATGGCCCTTTTTGGGTTACCCTCCATGCATTGGGTGTCAGTTCAGTGGCAGTTCCAGAACATTTTCTTAGGGTTGACCAGGCAGTACAATAATGTGCATGTGGCCAAAAAGTAATAGGGATCAAATTCGGTTCAGAGTCAAGCTATTGGGATCAGGTATCAGGGTTCAATTTGCATATTTTCTTAGCCAAAACAAGGATTTGTTGGGCTACTGTAATTTTGAATTGAAAAACGTCCTGAATGGGAAGTCTTCAAACTTGAAAAACAAAGTCCAAAGTTTTTTTTTTTTTTTTTTTTTTTTGGAATGATTATGACCTGGATGTCTAAGACTCTTCACCAGCTTATCAGGGAAATGAATGCCCACAATGTCTATATTATCCAAAAGAGAATAACAGAACAGACCTTCATGAGGCCCTTGTTAAAGCTATGCACATATTTATGCATCTATGCTCTTCAAATAACTTTCTGGTTCGACGCAACATTTACATTAAATGGGTTGAGAGGTTGTTCTTTACCAGTAAATACATAAAAGATTCCCAGATGACTGCCGATACAAACTCTCCCCTATAAAACCTAAAACTAATTCTTATAAGAGAGTAAAATCTGTATTAGTCTTCATTAAATGTAGCATATTGTTGTAAATAATCGATTGCTTTATTTTTGGTGTCAGCTTTTGGTCAATATGCTAACCTTAAAAGGTCAAAGTGGGAAAATGTACCCCCACTACGGGTAGTAGTGGGGTAGTAGTAGACAAATTAGCAATTAGAGGAGGCAATAACAATTACAATTCCTTTAGGGAAAGGGGAAGGAAAATCATTTATTAAGAGGAAAGAAATTGAAAAATGGCAAAAAAGGTGGAATGAAGATAAAAAAGGAAGAAGGTTATATAAAGTACAAAAGTCAGTATTAAATAGAAATATTAATGAGAGAAACCGAAGGGAAGAAATAATAATGATCAGATTAAGAGTAGGTCATACTTATTTAAATGACAATTTATACTTAATAGGGAGGAAAAATAATGATAAATGTGAAGGATGTGGAGAGATAGAAAATGTAGAACACGTATTGATGAACTGTAAAACATCTGGACCTGAAAGGAAGAAATTGAAAAGAGTTGAAAGGACAGGCCAAGAATGGAGTCTTAAAGGATTATTGGGAAATAAAGGAAATATAAAAGATATTTATAGATTAAGGAAAGCATTATTTATTTATCTTCAGAATACAAAATTAAAAAATAGAATTTAATAGATGTAAAACAATGTTGCTACACACTCATGAACAGTAGGTGGCGGTATGCACGCCCCTTCCCTAGAGCCCGGTGGGAGCGAAAACATTTTGAATGGAAATCAATGGGGAGAAATTAATAAACTTCTGGTCCCAGTCGCTCTCTGTCACTGATTCCAGATATGCTGGTTGTGTATTTAAATTGTTTTGTTTTTTTTTGAGTTCCTCTTTGGTCAAAATCTGGTCAAAATCCATCAATGAGATCGCACCAAACAGGAAGTTAAATGCACAAAGGATCCGGTAGATTTCCAAATAAAACACATCCGATCTTAACCCATGATCCTTTTTTTAACTAGTTTAATTAGTTTCTTCCGTATAGCACGACGTAATGCATTGATCTGAAAATCATCCTCAGACGCAACGCACGCAGTGGCGAGGGTTTGATCCGTCAGATGGAGTTAAATCACAAAGAATTCAATGTTGAATCGGGGCGGCAGCTAAATGCTAGGTGATGGGTAGCAGCCAAAACGTTGCAATTTCAAATAATCCTGACGAGATCCGAAAACCCGTAGCAAAAACTAGCAAGCGGGTGATTATGTATGTTCACTAAGTAAATATTATGTAAATAAACCCTACACTTCTCGCTATAAATGTAATCAAAACCCATTTAAATGCAGAAACTGATTGAAATTATTGATTTTCCCACTAAAAGTTAGAGAAATCTCAGCCATGTTTATACCAAAACGTTTCAGTTTCACATTATCTTGAAAAATCTTTGCAAGAAACGAACAAGCAAGGGATTATGTACATCCCCTGAGTAAATATTCTGGCAACAAACTATACATTTCTCACTAGAAATGTAATCAAAACTCATTTTAATGCAAAAACAAACTCAAGTTATTAATCTTTCCACAAAAACATGAGCGAATGTCGGCCATCTATATATATTTTTTTCTTCTCCCAGCTGGAATCTT